GGACCCCCGCAAGAGGATGCGCTACTTCGACCCCCTCCGCAACGAGTATTTTTTCGACCGTAACCGGCCCAGCTTCGACGCCATCCTCTACTACTACCAGTCGGGTGGGCGCATCCGGCGACCCGTCAACGTCCCCATCGATATCTTCTCCGAGGAGATCCGCTTCTATCAGCTGGGGGAGGAGGCCATGGAGAAGTTTCGGGAGGACGAGGGTTTTATTCGGGAGGAGCAGCGGCCGCTTCCCGACAAGGAGTTTCAACGCCAAGTGTGGCTTCTCTTCGAGTACCCTGAGAGCTCTGGGCCAGCCCGAGGCATTGCCATAGTCTCTGTGCTGGTCATCCTTATCTCTATTGTCATCTTCTGTCTGGAGACCCTTCCTGAATTCAGGGATGACCACGACTATGAGGGGACTGGGGGGACCTTCGGGACGGGTGGTGGCCCTCTCCCACCTGACGTCTTCACCAATTCATCGTCATCAGCCGCTTCCATGGTGTCGTCCTTCACCGACCCTTTCTTTGTAGTGGAGACTTTGTGCATCATCTGGTTCTCCTTCGAGCTGCTGGTCCGCTTCTTTGCCTGCCCCAGCAAGGCCACCTTCTCCAAGAACATCATGAACATCATTGACATTGTGGCCATCATCCCCTACTTCATCACGCTGGGCACCGAGCTGGCTGAGAGGCAAGGCAACGGCCAGCAGGCCATGTCCTTGGCCATCCTCAGAGTCATCCGCCTGGTCAGGGTCTTCCGCATCTTCAAGCTCTCCCGGCACTCCAAGGGGCTGCAGATCCTGGGGCAGACCCTCAAGGCCAGCATGCGGGAGCTGGGTTTGCTCATCTTCTTCCTCTTCATCGGCGTCATCCTCTTCTCCAGCGCCGTCTACTTCGCTGAAGCCGACGACCCCAGTTCAGGTTTCAGTAGCATCCCCGATGCCTTCTGGTGGGCGGTGGTGACCATGACCACGGTGGGCTACGGGGACATGCACCCCATCACCATTGGGGGCAAGATTGTGGGCTCTCTCTGTGCCATCGCAGGGGTGTTGACCATTGCTCTCCCCGTGCCCGTCATAGTCTCCAATTTCAACTATTTCTACCACCGGGAGACAGAAGGTGAGGAGCAAGCCCAGTACATGCACGTCGGGAGCTGCCAGCACCTTTCGTCCAGCGAGGAGATGAGGAAGGCTCGCAGCAATTCCACCCTCAGCAAGTCCGAGTACATGGTGATCGAGGAAGGGGGGCTTAACCACAGTGCATTCAAACAGGCTGCCTTCAAGACAGCCAACTGCACAACCACAAACAATCCCAACTGTGTGAACATCAAAAAGATCTTTACGGATGTTTAAATAAACAAAACAAAAAAAAACCAAAACCAAAACCAAACAGACAGCGACAAAACCTGAGGATGAGGTAAAAATAAAAATAATAATACTAGCAGTAATAATGCAAAGTGACTGTGTACTCGGTGTTGTGTGGAACATGCACCATCGTCGGTCTCTGTGTGCCCTCGTTTTTATACGTTTATTTTTTTAGAGCCTTCCTTCCTAAACATCCAAAAACAAACAAAAAAAGAACCAAACGGATTTAAAATTCTCCGAAGAAGAAGAGGACGGCGAAAAGGTGAAGAGAAGGAAGATGAAGACGAAACACACTCACCGCCCAAACAGGTGTTTGTTCTGCAACGTGTTGCAGGGCTGCTTTTGTTTTCTGGTTTTTGGGGACCTCTCGCTTTGCTCCTGAATCCTCCCCCCCACCCCTTCCCTGAAGGCAGCGCGTAGCCGATTTCCCTTCCATCGCATAAGCTCACTTGTTGGATTAACAGCCCCGGATTGGGTGGGGAGGCGAGGAAAACATGTTACTGCTGGAAGGGGGTTGGGAGGAAATAACCGATTAATTTTGCCGACAGTCTCTGTTACCACATTGTTAAATGACGCTTAATATTGCGCATCGCAGATTCCCTTTTTCTCCCCTGTTAGATCAGTTCTGAAATTCTAATCTGCTCAGAGACTGAGTGCAATCGATGCTGATTTCAATAGATGAAAAAAAACCTGAGAAAAAGCCCTTGTTTTCTATCCTTCGTTCCCTCCCCCTGCAACCCCATGGCGTTATTTCACCCAATGTCAAATTCGTGGCCGTGCAGCGGATCTGTGTGCGGGGAGGAGGGAGACGAAAGGCAAAACGCAACGATTTCGGGAGCGATGCGGGACGAGGGAGCCGGGACGGGCTCAAACCCACCCCGCTGCACACAAAGGGATGTTTCCTTGTGTATTTTTCTTTTGGCGATGCGTTTGGGAGAGATGCAGCCGCTTATCGCAAGGAGATTAAAGTGGCGAACACTCCTTCCAGCGGAAGTCACTGATTTGGAGCGGAGCGATGCAGTTGCTATGGCGACCCCGGTTTCCTGGGAAACCCCAAAGGTTGTCATGGCATCCCTTCTCCCATCCCCCTTGGGCCTGCTCTTCCCGAAAACAAACCTTTCCAGATGGTTCCAGCCCCGACATCCCACGACCCCGGGGCTCTGCCCCACTGTGTGACCCCATCCTGGCACCCCCTGCCCGGGCCGTGTCCCCCCTGGGGCTTCCCCTGTGCCGAATAAAGCGCCCGTAGGCAACAAGCACCCCCAAAAATCCACGTATCCCTCGCAGAGGAGCTCCCACCTTGGCAGTGAATTTTGGGGATGGAGTCTTTCACCCTGCCAACACGAGGACGACCCCAAGCTCCCCCTGCGCCCCACGAAACGTGGCCGTTTGCTCAAAACCAATGTGAAATGACGCCGAGCGGCCGTCGGGAAAGCGCGGCTGAGAAACCCCGACGGCTTTTTTTGGAAATGAGGGGGACAGATCGGGAAAGAGCGCGATTGAAACATAACCAAAAGCCCCACCGGGGAACGTAACACCACCTTCGTCTTCACGTGTGCACCAGGGGCCATGGGACATCTGATGGGATCAGGTGAGCTTCGCATGGGGCAGGGTTGAATAACATCATAATCTTGCTTTTTTGGGACTAACCTCACGTTTCCCACTGCTTACTGTTCTTTTTCAGCTCACCCTGCCGCTCTCGGGTGTTTTTGTTCATGTAGGTAAAGTGGGATAACATCCTGTAGCTCCTCTGCTTAAATTTGCTTTTCGCTTTGCTTTTTGGTGCTGTTCACAGGAGGCAAACCCCGCTGCTTTTGTTTTGCTTCTGGATTTCTCCATTTCTGTGCTAAAAGGGTTCCTTTGAGGAGGTTTAATGCTTCGATCTGACCCCTGCCATGGCAGCAGGGCCTGGCTGCTCATCCCCAGTGCCTCAGCTCCAGCTCTGCTCCGGTTTGCTGGGATTTGGGTTAAATAAAAGCAGATTCTGTCAAAGTAGTGAGGTGCCGTTAAATACCCCAAGTGTGTGGAAAGGCAGATCTGACCTCAGAGATGCTGGCCACGCCAAAATCAAAGTTTAGCTGAGATTTCACCCAGATTTAAAGGGATCAGGGCAGTTTGTGACACTCTCCCTTGGCCTTGCCTTAGCCCCAGTTAATAAAACCATTATAACCAGTAAAAACACCCCAGCAGCTTCCTGGCTAATGGGATATGACAGCTTTATTGGAGCTACCGTCGTTTTCTCCAGCTGAGGGCCTAACAAATGATCATAGGGGGATGCTCTGGAGCATCGCAGGAGGTAACAAACCTGGGATTCCTTAACTGGGAGAACTGGGATCCCTTAACTGGGAGAACTGGGATCCCTCATGTGGGATAACTGGGAACACCTCATCGTGCCTTTTCCTCAGGCTGTCAGCGGGCTGAAATGTCATTTCTGCCTGCAAACTCTCAGTTTTTGTAGTTATTCAAGCTTTCCCGTATGCCTGTTCCTAACAGGAGGGTTTGGGTTTAGGGTCTGGGGATGCAGCCCCACAAAGAAGAGTTTGCAGCTGAGTTTTGTGGCTGTGTTTTCTCGGTGGCAGCTGCGTGGGTCCCGGAAACCACGCGTTCTCCTGGAAATGGCACGGTGCAATTTTCGGTTTCTCTGTCGTCTAAAATAAGCAGGTTGTTAGTTTGCTTTCCTGACTGCTCCTTACCTTATTTTGTAAGGGCAGAACCATTTGAAAGGGATTTTATTGACAGTAAGAGATGCTGTGTGGGAGAGACGGCAAGGAAACCACTTCATCCATTGCAGTAAAACTCAGTTTTACCCCAGCACCGAATGGTACCGCTGAAAATTATCAAAGCGCTGCTGCTCTCTCTTTAAGATACGCAGAAAAATGGGGATATCCTTGCGGTGCCGTGCCCCATTTCTGTCTGCGCTGTCTCATTAGGTACCGCTCAGCGAGATAAACGCTTGCTGGTCTGACGGCGTCTCCGAAACCGGCTGCTGCGCGCGTCGTGCCAGGAATCAGAGAGATCGCTGCGAGATTGCTCGCTTTGCAGCCAGCTGCTTCCTCAGCTTGCTTTGCTGTGTCGCAATGTGCCTCCTATCAGGATTTTGGACCGGTTTAGCAGTTCCTGGGGGGTTAAAGATGAGCCTGGGCCTTTGCAACGTGTTGGATTCGACTGGTTTTAATGTGCTTAGAGGAGGCAGTGGTAGATGGGTGGATCCTGCCTGGCAGCAAAGCCTTCCCAAGGCGAAGGGGCTTGCCTAGACCCAGCTTGTTCCATGAAAAGGAGCAAAATGCCTTACTGAAAGCTGCTGGTTGGTGTTTTAGAAAGCGCACAAGGCTGCGTCCCTTTGGTAGTCCCCAATGTGGGTGCCCCAGCTTTTGGCTGTGTGGCGGGGATGCTCTCCGCAATGTCCTCCTCCTCCCCATCCTTTGTACCTGTCACGCGAGGGACGTGAGGGACGTTCACTGCTGTGACAAGGACGGGAGCCGCGATGGGAGCTGGCAGCTCCTGCCCCAGGGACGCAGCCCTTGGAGGCCGTAGCTGCCTCCCCGCGTGATTTGTGTGTTCGGTTTATGTAGGGACACTGGGGATGCGGAGCCTTGCGCAGCCTCCTGCCTCCTTTCCCAGGCTCCTCTCCCTTTCCCTTGGGATTTTAGGACCTTCCTCTGTTTCAGCTCTGGATGCCACCTCAAAACAGGGACAGACGCATCCTTTGTACCAGGGGATGCAGCAACCCCAACCCTGGCCTCTCTCCTTGGTCCTTTGACACCCTCACCTTTTTCCTCCTGCTGATTTGCCCTTTTTGGTGTGTATTTTCAGGCCTGAACTGTTTCAAAAGGGTCCTTTTGTTCTCCAGCACAATGGATGCCCTTCAGGTGCCTGGGGTAGCAGAGGAGCAGAGCATCCATCCCACCCCACGTGTGGACGCAAACAAGGGCTGGGGATATCTCATTCCTCCACGAGGCTTAAATTTCTCTCCGGGCAATTGTTCCTACTCCATCCCTTGACAAAAGAAGTCGGGTTTTTGTTTTTAAGGGGTCAGGGACAGTGAAGTGGGAGGAATGGGCATCCCCAGCAGAAGGGATGGAGCCACCCGGAGCTGTGGGGCAGGGAGAGGGTCCCTCACCGCGGTTGCTGAGCATGGAGAGCGTTCGGCGTGAAATCTGTTTAATTGTGTAGTTTGGAGCCCTCTTCCTGCCAAGCTTTTAAAATATGCATGTCTGGGCGAGAGCACATGGAGGCACCGTCGCAGCCTGATGGAAGGCAGGGCCTTTTTTTAAATGATTTTTTTTTTTTTCCATTTTTAAATGCTTTAACGAGGGAGCTCTGGGTAGGCTGCAAACCTGTGAGTGCAAACAGACAAACAGGATTTTAAATGTGACTCATTTTCCTCTTCGGTCTCAATTGCTGCATGTACCGGGAAGGAGATGCTCAGAGCATCGGCATCCTCATGCAAAGGCAGTCGTATGGATGATGGATGTAAGAAAACAGGGACTCTGTGGACATTGTAGGATGCTGTGGGCAGGGCAGTATCCTATAAAGGTCTCCTTCACTGCTACGGAGCTGGTTCTGCTCCTCTGCACCCTTCCCTGCTATGGGTCCACACTCACAGTGTGAGCAGGGTGCTCAGCTCGATTTTGGGGGTGTTGTGCAGCTGGAGGGTGGGTTCAGGATGGGGCATTGCTGCCTTTCCCCATCCCCTGGGTGCTGTTTACACGGCAGAAGCTGTGCCAATGCAGCACCCACAGAGCCCAATGGGTGCTGGCAGTGCTGGGGGTGGGAGCCCTCTCCCCATGCCAGCAGTGGGAGCCTTGGAGTGATGCACGTCCCCACAGGAGCTTTCTTTGGATACAGCCCTGGGGCTGCTCCATCACCGCTCTGACATTCTGGGGATATTTCGGGGTGGGTGCCCTGAGGTGCTTCATCCCAGCAGGGAATCACATCTCCAGCACTGGGAGGGTTTTGGCTCCATTTTGAGAGTGGTGATGTGGGGT